ACATAAGAGTGTTACATCAATGTTACAATTCCTGTTTTTGTTCATTGTACTGCGGTTATGAAAGCTAATGTCCTAGTTCTTAAGACATATATGCTGAAATATTTACGGTAATAGGGTACACTGTAACTTTCAAACGATTAAAAAAAAACACAGAATACAGAAAATGAAAAACAAGTGTGATTAAATGTTAATAGGAGATGAATAGAGGTGAGTTGTACTCTTGCAACTTTTCTGTAAATTTGAACTTATTTCAAGTAAAACGAAACACTTTAGAAACATGTGGAACGGAAGATTAAACTTGGGTTACTTATTTTAAAAAGGATGATAGTTGTACAAAACTCTATCATATTAAGTGCTGTGAGATTTGTGTTTTATATTTCTCATGATCTAGTGTTTTTCCTTACTTACTAATAGTTTTCTATCTTCTGCTGATGATATTCACCCCAGCAGACCCCAAATATAAACTGAAAGAAAAATTTCACCATACAGTACTCTTTTTATTCTTTTGTGTATGACTTCTTTCTCTAGGAGCAGAGATTGACGCCCTCTCCAGTGGACTGTCATGTGACAAGTCACTTTTCTTCACCAAAACAGCTTAAGTCCCTGTGACTTGACTTACTTCATGGAGAACGAAGTACAATGTCACTCTCCTTTGTAAAGAACCGAAAACCCATCGCCCTATTTAAGTATTACTGCTAACAGATATACGTGAAATTGAAAGTTTAAAATATTCTTTGGTAGAGCCTGCCCAGTTAAACCCATAATCACATTTAAAGCACTTACTTTGTTAAGAATGTTCCTCAGACCTGATACCTAGAGCCTTGCTACCCTAACAAATGCAGCTTTTTAAAGCTTAACAGGCTTTACAGAGATTTCTACGAAAAGCCTCCAGGAAATACAGATGTAAATCACAATTTTACCACCAACTAGCAATGCAGCCTTATCACATCATCTTCAGAACCCATTTCTTCATCTCTAAAGCAGAGAGGTAGCAGCAGATAATATTTAAGGTCTCCGTTCATTCTAAAGAACTCAGATTCCATGACAGCAGGTTCAGAGAGCTTGTAACTGTTCTCTTTGCCTCTACTTTCTCTTTCTAAATTATCCTTCACATTACCACCAATTAATTTCCTCAAACGACTACTGTATTAGTTTTCTATTGCTGTTACAAAAATTACCACACACTCAGGGGCTTTAAGCCATGCAAATTTATTATCTTACGATTCTGGAGGTCAGAAATCTAAACCAACTTTCAATGGGCTGAGATAAAGTTGCCTGCAGACCTGTGCTCCTCCTGGTGGCTTTAGGGAAAAATGGTTCCCTGGCCTTTGCCAGCTTCCAGAGGCTGCATTCCTTGGCTCGCAGCCCCTTCCTCCTTCTTCAAAGCCAGCAGCTTAGCATCCACAACTCTCCCTCCGACTCATGGTTCTCCAGACCCTCTCTCTAACTTACACAGACTCGTGTGACTCCTGAGCTACCCAGGTAATTCAAGATAATCTCCCATCTCAATCAAAACCCTCAACTCAATCAAATACTCTAAGTCCCTTATGCCATATAAGATAAATATTCACAGTTTCTGGGGACTAAGATGTGGAAACACTGGGGAGCCATTATTCTGCCAACACAACTACTTAGTTATATCAGTCCCCCAATCAAAAACTGCCATTGGCCAAAACCAGACACAGACATCAGAAAAAACGATCTCTATTTTCAGATGACATGGTCTTATACAAAGAAAATCCTAAGAAATCCACTACAAAACGATTAGCTAATAAATAAGTTCAGCAAGGTTATAGGTTGTAAGATCAATATATAAAAACCAATTGTATTTCTATATACTAGTAGTGAGTAATATGAAAATGGAATTAGGAAGTTATCATTTACAATAGCATTAACAAGAATAAAATATTTAGGAATGTCATAGAAGTACAAGGCTTGTACACTGAAAACTATAAAATATTGATTAAAGAAATTAACAATGGCCTAGATGAAAACAAAAGAATTTAGAGTCCAGAAATAATTCCTTACATTTACGATCAATTGATTTTCAACAAGGGTGACCAAGATAATCAACGGGGAAAGAACAGTCTATTCAGCAAATGGTACTGGGACAATTAGATATCCAAATGCAAAAGAAAGAAGTTAGATCCTTCTCTTACAGCACATCCAAAAATTAACTCTAGGATCATATACCTAAATGTAAAGGCTGAAACAATCAAACTCCTAGAAACCATAGGAGCAGATCTTTGTGACCTTGAGTTAGGCAAGACATTCTTAGAGAGAGAGAGAGAGAGAGAGAGGGGAATACCAAAAATACAACCAATGAAAGAAATAATGGGTAAACTACACATCATCAAAATTAAAAACTTTTGTGCTTCAAGGGACCCCATCAAAAGCGAAACGACAACCCACAGGAGAAAATTTTTGCAAATCATATAAAGGATTGTTATCCACAATATATAAAGAACACTTACAACTCAATAAAAAACCCATAACCCAACTTAAAAATGAAGCAAGGGATCTGAGTAGACATTTCTCCAGAGATAAATAAATGGCCAATAAGCACATGAAATGATGCTCAAAATCATCAGCACTAGGGAAACGTGAATCAAAATCACAATGAGGTATCATTTCACACCCACCAGGATGGCTACAATAAAAAAGTCAGCTAACAGCCAATGAAAGCAAGAATATAGAGAAACTGAAATCTTCAACATTACTGGTGGGAAAGTAAACTGGTGCAGCTGCTGCAAATGACTGGGAATTCCTCAAAATGTTAAACGTAGTTATCATGCAGCCAAGCAATTATATTCTTAAGTATATACCCAAGAGAAATAAAAACACATGCCTGCACGCGCGCGCACACAAAAAAACTGCTGTTCACAGTATCATTATTCACAACCACAAAAAAAATGGAAAGAACCCAAATGCCCATTAACTGATAAATGGATAAATAAAATGTGGCCTATCCATACAGTGGTACAGCACGAAGTACTGAGGCATGCTCTAACCTGAACCCTAAAACATTATGCTAAGTGAAACAAGCCAGTCGCAAAAGGCCACATCTTGCATGATTCCATTTACAGCAACTTTCCAGAATAGGAAAATGCATAAAGACCTAACGTAGATAAGTGGTCGTCTGGGGCTGGGAGGAAGGGGCACGGTGAGTGACTGCTAATGAACACGGGGTTTTGTTTTGTTTTTTGGCACAATGAAAATGTCCTGAAAATAAAGTAGATAATCATTATGATTACGCAACTATAAACATACTAAAAAACCACTGAATCATAAATTTAAATGGATGAATTTGATGATGTGTGAATTGTAACTCAAAAAGCTGTTTTTAAAAGTCAAAGTATTTAGTTCATGTTTAAACCCAGTGGTCAACATAAAGTCTCTCCACGTAGTCCGGAAAGAAAATAAGTATATAAAGTATCTTCTAAGATAAAACGTATAGTTTTCTTCAAATGTTACACTTAACATAAAAATCATCTATGCAGAAGAGTGTTATTAACACAGCATGGTTAAAAATAAATGCAGGGCCGGCTGAGTGGCACGATGGTTAAGAACTGGCCTGGGATGCCAGAGGGCCCTGGTTCGGATCCCACATATGAGGGCCA